CATTTAGGTTTCTCTAAAAGAATCAAGAAGCAATTAATATTCAAGTGTCGCCAAATAATATTTTTACTTATCAACTTAAGTATAAAATGTTCTAACAGAATGTACAAGTGCTGTGCATAAAAATGCCCACTCTTGTGGACAAAAAATTTGTTGAAAATGAAAAGATTTTATTCGTTTTTTAATCATTCTATGCAAAATATTTGAAGAATTTAGAGGGTCAGTGATTTCAGGGTTCTCCAATGAGCACACAAATCTCCACAGCATTTCAGGGCTGAAAACTTGCTCTTTTGTAGTTGCTCAGCTCCGCGGAAAATAAGCCTTTGTTAGCAAAAGGACATACAGATTTCTGGTTAGCCTGAGAGATATACATAGGAGGCACCCTGTACTAGCATTTATTGATTTGTACACAAGTTTTCTTTCAAACACCCACCATGCATTTGGCAACAAAAGCTTTCCCTGAAAATGGCATGGCAGCCTCAGGGCTGCAAGAAGGGAGGGAAAGCAACAGGCCTAATGAAACTCATTTAGACAATGAACCCTTCTAGAGTAAAGGTGAGATATGATCCTGCAGGCCACCCTCAATCAGAGCTGTTTCTGAAATCCCACGAATAGCCTTGTCCTGTGTGACCATCACTCAAATGTTGGAGAAAGCTGTCATCCATGGAGCGATGAAGAGTCAAGCACAAATGGAGGAGAACTGGTGGCATTTTTCAGTGTGCCAGAAAGAAAAAGGTACCTGGGCAGGGTCTCTGCTCTATACAACAGCCAGCGCAACACAAAGAATGTGTTCTCAGGGCAAGCATTTAAACACCCTCCTAAAGCTGTGGACAGATAGTGCAACAAACTGGAAGAAGGGGAACATATGCTCTCTATGTCATCCTCCACTGAGTGGCCTGATTTCTCCTGCATGGAGCTTTAGTGCTTTATCACACAGCAGCTCCCTGAGAGCAGCATCCGTTTGCAATCACCTCATCACCTCCCCTATTGCATTACAAATTTGCCACATAGACAAAGTGTCCCATGCTGATTCTCAGCAGTGGAAATCTCTCTCAGATGCAGCCTGTTGTCATGGACACTACACTCCGGACAATGTTTAATGGCAGTTATCAGGACAATAAGCCTGTCCTCCAAGGCCTTGCTATCACATCAATTAACTTCCAGCACATACAGAAGGCAGTATTTCTTCCACGTGATTTACAAAGGGGACAGTATATTCATTGCTTCCTCTTTTGTCACAAATGGAGCATCCTCAACAGTGCCCAGGGCTCAGTGACGGTGCAGTTCCTATGTACTGTGCTGGAAGTTTTGAAGTTAACAAATTAGCGAATCAGAGATCAAAACGTAAATTTTCATGAAAAAGTATCTATTCCATAAGAGTACTGAAGCAGGCATAGGGGACAAGGCAAGAGGGAAAAAGCTGCTGACTTCCTGCCTGTGAATCACACTGTATCCCTCACTATCTGGAGGAAAATCTCTAATGCTGAGACAATCAGAAAGCAGAAAAAACCCTCCCTGGTGCACTCCAGGATTCAAAAGTCCTGTTATGTTTTGCAGTAAGGGTAGCAGGAATGAGTTAAGCACAGTCTTACCTGGATCTGTCCTTTCCCCATTATGCGATCTGTGCTCTCTCCATCCTCTTTGGTGAGCTTGGTTTTGTTGTAGCACTTTTCATAGCACAGAATCCGCAGAGTTTGTGAGCCTTCCAGCTCAATCTCAAACTCCTGCAGGGCACCAGGAAAGGAAAGAGTAATGAATACATCACAGCAGGACACTAGTCTCTTAATAATCAGCATAGTCTCCTTGAAACTCATCAGGAGGGACCACTTAAGGACTGACCAAAACCTCCTCCCTAATGAAGTTGGTCTAGAAAGCAAACTGAAATTATATTTGGTATATATATATGGTGGTCAAATCAGAGACTAAGATGGTTGACTCCTTAGTCAGGTTTCACTGAGTTTCAGGAAAGCATCATTCAAAGAAACAAACTCGCCCACCTTCCTTGTATTTAATTTTGCTCCCCAGCAGGCTTGAGTTGGCTGTAAGCAGGCAAAGTGTCTATAGCTAATTCTTCCCCCTCACAAGTAAACAAAACCACCTCCTCCTTCAACATATTTTCACTTCTGTCTTTAAAAAAGTAATCAAACATGCATCTGTTTAAATGATGAAATGCTGGACAAGACTCATTTGTACCAAAATGTTTGTTTAACTATAGCTAACCCAAGAGAAAATCTTCTGCAAGCCCTGACAGCCAAATGAACCTGGCATAAAAGTGTTTTCTGAGAGGCAGTATATGCGGCACAAGTGCTGAGCATGCAGCAAGATCTTCCATTTGCGGGTTTTCTGCCCATCATACGTTGATGTTTGGCACATGGAATGAGTCACATAAAGAAAAATCCAACCTACCTCATTCCAGTTGGGCTCCGTGGTGTCTCTGTAAACTCTAGTTTTAGCCTTGTTCACGAAATACCCAAAAGAATCCACCTCTAATGTGCAGTACAAATCTGAGGGGGGGAGACAGGGACAGAAACTTTTAAAAAATTTCTAGAATCTCCTAACTTGCATTGATCACTTTCAGAGTGCGTCTTCATTTGCATCTTCTCTGTATTTGTACCAGTAACATTATCCAGCACAAATCTCATCATCTGGACCACAGAGTTGCCTTTTACAGCTAAAGTACCAGCACAGCTGTATAAATGACCTCAGCACAGACAAGCCCTTCACCTCTATCAAGAGTCAGGTGTATGCTATTATCCAATATTTCCCAAATCAATCCACAATCAGCAGAAGGTGTACACCAATGAGAAATGAAACTTCCTCAGGTAGATATTGGACCCCATCAACACATCAGAACCGATTCCACTGAGAACAGGATCAGTATATATCCCTCAGAGAGTAGGTTAGGGGCTAGCCATCAAAACTCATTATCTTCACAAAGTGGTTAATTATGTGGTATCTGGTGTTTTTGAAGAGCTAGTAATGAGCTGTAGACATTGCCCCTATTTGTAAATTACGTTGTAAGTGATGTCAGCCAGCATTGGGGAAGTCAGTGGTTCAGCAGGAGGAGGGCTGACAGAAAGCATGTACATGTCCAGTTCACTCCTTTCCTCCTGAGACTGTGCACGCAGATTAGACAAGTACAGGATCCCCAGCCACATGGCTAGGTAAGCTTTGCCGCTTTTCCTAGATTATCCTCATCAATGGCTGAGAAGCATGTTTATTTCTACAGGTGTCCTCTTCCCTCTATTTTTTCCACCTTTTTCGATCCTTCTGCCAAATCACTCCCCTGAATTTTAACACCTCTTTCTTCACACTAAAAATTCTGGATGTCAGAGAATGCTTCCCATTCTTTCGTTGCAAAACAAAATACAGTTGAAAGAATTCAGGATGAGGGCTGACTTGTATCTAAAACTGTTGGGTAATTAGCAAACGCTGCTTAAAAAAAAATACCAACAGACTAGGCCTAAAAAATAATGCTGCATGCTTGATCCTTATCTTTCTGAGAGTTAATAGTAGCATTAAAAAATTGCATTCCCCTAAATTTACACCAATGCCCCGATTTCACTTCCAGTTCCCCAAATCACCTCTCCTCCTCACCATCATCCCAGATGCTGCAATCCTAAACCAGTCCATGCTCAGCTGTCACAGCACCTGCATTATCTAACCCCTACCAATATCTCTGTGTATTACAGAGCTGCAACTCACTTGAACTTTGCTTGAATCCTGTGGCAGAGTGGACAATGACATTCAGGAATCCATAGAGACCTGGGGATTCATCATCTGTACAAAAAACCCAATGAATTTTGTTATGTTCACAGAGGAGACGAGTGAAAGACAGAGTGATGAGACTGATATTACGCAGGTTAACGAGCAGAGGGTAAACTATCCCTAAAAAGGATAGCAGGAGCATGTAATCTAGCCATTTCAGCAAAAGAAGAGACTGTTCCAGGTTCAGTGTCGGTTTCACCTGTAATACCTTCTGGCAACGGGTGGCTTTTACAATGACATTTCTAGGGTCAGCAAGACAGCATGGAAGAAATTCAAAGGAGCAAGAGTAAAATATAGAGGCTAAGTCTATACTAGCAGATTAAACAGTAATTTAGGATGGTCTCCAACACAATTTTGGCCAACTAATGTTCTTCCAAAGGATTCCCAGGCATAGTTCAAAGTTGTCCCAGGCTAGGACTCCAACAGGCACTCCAATCCCTAGCATGATGGCTGCAGGTAAAGACCATTTAATAGTCAATGGATATATTCTGAAGGATGTCCAGGAATATTTTACTAATTTAGATGCAGTCATATAATTTGGAGCTTGTATTTTTATTGTTGCAGCAAGTAACATTGGGATGACAGATTGTTCTTGTTCCTGCTGCTCTCTTTTTGTACACTATCATCTACTTCAACTAAACTGCACAAGTTGGGTCTCAGCTTTTGCTTTAAAGGAACTCTCAGTTTGTAACTCATCACCAGGTTGAAGCCTGTAGCAAAAAGAAACAGTAGGAGCAGTTCTAGGGGAAACGAACAAAGGCAGGCACAGGCAGGTTTTCACTGCAGCTGCACCATGTGAAAGCATAAACCAAAGGTCTCACCTTCCTTATTGATAGTGAGGGGAATGTTGTGGACTGTCTGAAGCTTCACACAGGAGTTTGTCAGCATCTGGAGCTCCACCGACGTGAGAGAGAAGCTTTTAAAGCCTGCCAAGAAGATTCAAAGAAGGAGGAATTAAAATTCAAAGCAGAGGCTAGATGCACGCTCCCTCATTCTGGGCATACATAGGACCATTGCTCCCTGGGCAATGCTCAGCAACAGTACCATGGTGCTCAGGTCTGTACTGCTGCTGCAGCCCAGTTCTATTGAGGGCATATTTAGTTGCTCTTTGGAGTAAAAAGTCTCAGGATGGTTCACAGGAAACAAGGGGGGCTCTTATTTTCGTGCAAAGCCAAAAAACACCCATGCCAAAAAAGTAAGTAAGTTTCTTTGGACTGGAGCCAGGTAAAAGGGTACAGCTGTTCCCTCTACGTGGAACTGCACAGAGCTCTGATCTCTAGGGTAAATGGGAGAATCTCTCCACAGACTTACGAAGTGCTCTCCCTACACATTCCCTACATGTTACTGCAAGCAAAAGTCCCCCAGACAGGCTCAGATGTGCAGAGACAGAAGACATCCACGTTGTGCTGTGGATTCCAATGCACATCCCTCTCTTCGCCTGGAACCCTGCCCCACGCCTCATCCTCTGGAATCCTGCTCTCTAATAAGATCACAGTATTTGTACCAATGCCCAGCTGAGGGACACTCACATTTCTTCTGCTGCTCCCGGATGTTCTCCCTCCACTCTGCCCTTTCATAGTCCGATGAAATGAGGAACGTGTAACTCTACCCAGGAAAACAGAAGAAAATAGGGTATGCATTAGTCTGACCGACTCCTGAGAACAGGCCTGTCCCACCCTCCTCCAGTGGAAATTATTGGATACACTGTCCTTCTAGTACTGCTGCCAGTTGCCCTACATCACAGCTTTGTCAGTGACAGGCAGGACTCTGGCAATGCGCCCTCTCAGCAATGTGCCAGCGGTACCAACATGGACTCCTGCAGTCAGAGCTTTCATAGAGCTTCACCCTGCAAACAGCAGCTGCATCCCTGGCAGCATGAGGTCCCATGGCAGCTCTGTGCTATTCCTCATAACAGTTGCACCAGGAAACCCAAAAGCCTCTACCACAGGCCTAGACACTGATGCAAGCTGAGGAAGCAGTGACCAGCTTGTGAATTTTCACTGAGTAGTAACAGGATCTTGTAAGAATCCTTTACCATGTGTGTGGAAAGGCCGCAGTGACAAGTTACAGCACTGCCAGAGCAAGGGATACCTCTGGCACATTGAGCATCCCACAGCGCTAAAGGAGATTATTCACAACCATTCAGCACCCTTGGTGCCAAGCGCAGCACACAGTCCTGAGGAGACAGCCCTGAGTGTGCTAAGCCTTGAATTTGAAAGGAATTCTAGAAGGCAGCTGCTGCAGAGCTTTATCTTAGGTGAAGAGAGCCATTCCTGTTGCTCTGCCAGGGCAGGTGCTGAGGTAGTGGACTAATTTCTAATGTTACTTTTTAAATGCCAAAGTTGCATACAAATTAATCATAGCCTTACAAGATGTCATCATAACCGTTGGTGTAGCAAGGGTTAGGTGTCTGCTGCTTCGAAAGTGCCTTCAGGCCAGACAACAGAGGGCATGAAGACCACTTTGTACAACAGCATATACAAACACACACCCACCCTTGACCTCTGTCTTGTACACTGAGGGAGACCAGAAGAGCCACTCACCTTGCCATTGCGATTGTGTACCCGGAAGGCCATGTTGGGAGACATCAGCAGTAGAAGGGATTCCTGCTCTGAGAGCTTCTTTTTCAACCGCTCAATGACCTTGCTGCCTTTATTGGCCCTCTGAAGAGTGGGGGAGAGAGGGAGACAGAGGACACATATCATTCTCTGACGTCTGCCCCCATTTACACTGACAGACATTTTAAGACCCACAGTCCCTTCCCTCTGTGAGCAGCCAAATGGCCCCAGGCAGGAGAAATGCTGTCAACAGGATCCACAGGGCTCCCAGTGGCTCAGGAAAATGTTACCTGCAGTATCTCTACACTCAGACTTGGCTCTGTTCCCCAATTCCAGCTGCCCCAGACGGAGGTGCAGAGGTGCGTGGCCACTGTCCCAGCTATAGCCTTTACTTTCTGTTCCAGAGGCTGCAGCAGCATCACGTCACTGGGCAGCCATAGCACTGCCAGGTCCTCCACAAGCATCCTTAACTAAGGAGACTGTAATGAACTTCTCTAGAAGCTGCCCAGAACTCTGTTGCCAAAATTCTCTCCCACCCACCAATCCATTTTCAACAGAGGTCAGCTAAAACCAAGGTTTTTCTGGGATAAAACCCAGAAAGTCCCAAACCCAGCCGTGTATATTGTTTGGCACTGATGCACCGAAGCACGTTATCTTAGACACCTGCACCTTGTGAGTAAGAGGCTTCCACACAGTGTTCCTCCTAATATCTTACTTTTTCCAGGAAGCCCTCTCTGAAAGCCAGCCAGGACAGAGAGGCAGAAGCATGTTCTTTTGAAGTGCAGGGGATAGTCTTCTCATGGTACAAGCAATATTATTCATATCCTGTTCTAAACACCAGCAGGCTTTCAGTTTTCAAACTCTTATTTCTCTTTTGGGTTCCAGGAAGGTTTGGAGTCTAACACCTCTGAGAAAACATGTCTTGCAAGCAAAGAGAAGCCTGGGCCAGAGACACCATATCTGTGTCAGACTGTCCAGTCAGCATAAGTGGTGTTCTTCATATGTGCTGGTGCTTTGACACGGGTAAAGTCAGAAAAAGCTTCAAAAGCATAACTGAGCCTGCAAAAATTCAGAAGTACATGACTTCTGACCAAAATCACTTGCAGGATCATACTTTAACAGCCAGAAATTGGCATGCCACACTCCTAGTCCTTCTCATGTCCACAGCATAAGAGCCCCGCCCTCCACATGGATGTTCAGGGATAGCAGTCACAGGCAGTCTCATGCAAATAGAGGAGCTACTGGGTACAACTACAGGATCTTTTTGTTTCTGCCTGCTCACAGGACACCATCATTCAAGCCATGCACTAGCATGAGCAACGATGGGCTGCAGAGCATGTAGATATCACTGATAACAGAGCTCCACCACAAGCCTCTGCTGAACAGTCTGTTTTAGCATGACTCCCCATGCTAAACCATGTGCAGCTCTGGGAATGCTGCTTCTATCAGCACCTCGTCTCAGCAGAGACACTGAGCCTGTACTTAGCATGGAGTGCTCAACCCCTTTTACCTTTTCACGCTGGATGTCATTCTTGATCTGGGATATCTTGATCTTCATGGCATCCAGTTCCTCATCAGGTACCAGTGGGATATTGGGCACTGCCTCAGACTCATCTACCATTTGGAAACTAAGGTCAGTGAGCGGGATGTACCATTTGCAGTCATATTGCTGGCTTTTTCTGAAAGACAGAAGGTCCAAACCTTTTACTATTACCCGTGTCTGGCAACACCCACTCCCCCTTCCCACAAGCCCTTCCCTGCTATAGTGCATAAGATACAGAAATGGGCACAACTTCACTGTGACTCCCATGTGGAAAAAGTCTGGTAAAGGGCTGCTTTCCAGCAAGAAAGCCTAGAAGGGCCAATAGCCAGTACAGCACATAATAAGGCAACTTGTTTTGTTATCTAGTTCTTTTCATCCTAAGAAACCACAACTATCTTTTGCAAACCCTTTCAGTCCTGCGTGTTCTCCCTTTGAAGCCTCTGTAGAGGCAAAGTTCAAAAGCCGTGCCATGCCTCTGACCTGGCTGCTACCTATGATCTAAACCCCGGTCTCTCCTGCCTAAGCTAGGAGGGCCAAGTGGGGTGGGTGAGCCAATATGTATAAACCTCTGTGTAATCCAACCAGAAGAAAGAAACTACCGCTCGTAACTGCCATTCTCCAGTGATTTCACCAGGATAACCAGTTCACTTTTTTAATGTTTCATGTGATTTATTCCCTCTCCACCTCTACTGCCAGGAACATCCACTCTTGGGAATGTCCCACTCTTTTGAAGGTTCATTCCTCACAAGCATGTGCTTCAAAATGGGCAGGGACAACTTTTTGCTTGAGGAAGGCAAGAAGATGAGAGGAATCTCCCTGAGCAGAACATTTACCAAATGAAGAGAAGCCCTGTTTCAGACAGGTATGTCGGTAAAGGTTCCTCCCCCCTCATTTGTGAAAAATGTCAACAAAACTGTTTGTATAGCTGCACTTTGGGGTTGACACAGTCTGTTTATTGTACCTTTTCCATTTTTCTGCAGAACTATTAACTGACTGTAGCTGCAAGGCCAAAATTAATAACCTTAGTAACAAAAGAAAGTGAAGAATGTCACCTATTAAAAGAAAGGGGAAGTGGAAAAATGAATGGCATTTGTCCAGAATACCAGCAGCTACAGCACATCTTATTTTCCTAGGAAGGCTCGGGGCAGGGGCAGGAGGAATTAACCTTTCCTGAGGGAACAGGACTTGGCCAAGGTCTCTTATAATAGACAGTACTACCTTGGTGATCATTCCTTGTCTAACTGCATCTTGTGGATTATGGTTACCCAGGTCTGGAGTATGCATATTCAACTAAAATTGCTGGCTAAACCCAGGATTCTGCTGAAGCTAAGGTGCAAAGCACGTAGTCCAGAAGGAAAACCTCACCCTCCAATCTGCTTCTTGAGCTTGGCACACAGGAACAGATCAGTAAAAAGAAAGACATGACGTAGCTTGCGAGCCCCCTCAACCAGCTCCACCATGAAACTGTCCTTCAGCAACTGCCGGTGCTGGTGAGAAAACAGAAAAAATGTTTTAGTTAGTGCAATATGAGCCCCAGATTTGGCACTGGGGCACCACATTCCTTAGACACGACTCCTACCAGAGCCAATTCAGTAAATTGGTCTAATTCAGAAAAAAGGCTATTAAATGTTCCTTGCTGTAAGCTCTGCTCCCTGCTGCTGCCCTCTGTCCCAGAGGCAGAAATGGCCATGCATCTCCTTTATTATTTGGTTCTGTGTCAGACTTCAGGCTTGTCTCCATCACCTGTTCCTGAGCCCAAGTGTAATTTATTGTGAGTCATTAACAAGCTTCTGCATACCCAAGGGCCAGAATCACTGACAGCACACCATCCCCTCACAAACCAGCAGAGAGCAGCAAACACCACTTTTCTCAGGAGTCACCCAGCCACTGAATTCAGCTTCAGCTACTTCACCAGGGAGAAAGAGGAGCGAACACCTCCATGAACACCTCCACTCACAACAGTAGTTTGTCAACATTAACAGCTGAATGCCATTGCTGCTTCTTTATTACAAGTGCTGTTAAGGGATAATTCCTGAACAAAATGTGTGTCTAGCAAACTTCTCAGTAGTCCCTTATCAGCCTGTGTTTAAATAGGGCCATCTGGATATGCCCCCACCCCATGCCTATTTAAATCTCTTTTATACCTCATATAAACATTCCCCAAACCTAGAAGATGCAAAGAAACTGCACAACCCTGATGCCTTTATTCCTGTTTCTAGTTCCAGGGAGCCCTGCTCTGCGCTCAGGCCTTCTGCTCTGATGTCAGGATCAAGAGGACTCTGAGTGCACATCTGGAATAGATATCTCCCACTGATTTTCAAACAGAAGTCAGGGGTATTCAACTTTGGGCAAATTTTATTCCCACCAATATGTATAACTGTCAGCATTGCCTTGCTTCACAGCCAGTACAAGCAGGAACCATCAGCTTCTCCACACAGGTATGCTAAGGTACTTTTTCCTGACCCGTACTATTTCCTTGCTATTCCAGCTAAGAGGATGCTCCCCTGACACCAATGAGCAACACACTACACATACCATATGTGCTTAGACAGCACCATGGCTGGGGATAGGCGAGATCTGCTAACACTGTCCAGTCCTAACCAACACCTCGCCCTGCTGTCTCACTGTCGGCCTTCTCCAGGCCCATGCTTGGGACTTGTCAGTACGACTCACTCCTGATCTGCAGTATCTCTGTGATCCCCATGCTGGGAAACGTGTACACGAAAACTCTCCATTTCCACGAGGCAGCTGTGCTCAGCTATGCAGCAGTATGCAACAGGAAAGCAGTTAACCTGAGCAAGGTCAGGACATCCAAACCAGAATTGATGCCTCAGTTTCTCAGGTTATGCCCCATGGGTTTTGTTTGCTGCATGACTTAACAAGCCCTGAACACATTTACTGCAGAGGGTGTGGGAGTGCAAACCCCCACGCTGCCTCTCCTTCCGCCTACCATTCTTCCCATCTTGGCTCTCCAAAAGAAAACAAACCACATCAGTCCTGAGCCCAGCAGGCATCATGGCAAGGAACACAAGGCAGAGAAATGCCCTTGCAGACCTAATTCGTGTTTCCACACTCTGTCCTACGGCACCCTAGACTTCCTGACACAGACTAAGAGTCTGCATTTTCCTGTCTGCTGCTGCATTAGCACCACAGCTAGCTGTTAAACCACACATAGGAGTGTCAGCATCTCACCTTGGTGCTGCCTTCCATTACACAAAGGTCCTAGAAATCTGTGAGCAGCAGCAAAAGCTGCATCTTTCCCATAGTGCCAGGAAGCAAGGCTGCTCCCTAGCAGACTGTTGCACCATCTCTGGGCAGGAGTCTGTGGAGATCTGGTATCCAGCAGTGATTCAGGCTCAGAAAGGCCTGTACATATGTTAATGTTTATTTTTAGGTGGGCGTGATCCTCCTGGCTTCTCCTCAGTGGTTTTGGAGAGAACGCCTGCCTGCATTAATGTCTCTGCTGCTGATGCACACTTGTGCATGCCTCCCCCTCCTGCCTGGCGAACAAACCCAAGGTAGGAAACTAGAAACATCGAGCTTTAAAAATAAATACATAAAAATGAGGAGGTATGTTGTCAGTAGCAAAAACACTCTCCACAGCTGCAAAGAATTTCATTTGGGAGCAATACTGAAGCAGGGAAAGATATTTTCTGAGCAAGCCAAAACCCTGATCTCAGGTTTCTAGATCTGATGCATATTAATTATGCTACAAATCAGCTCAGCTCCTCTGGGGCAATGAGAATAGCTGCTTGTTGGCAGCTCAACCTCTGCTCATTGTTCATAGGTGTAAAGATGTTCTCACAGCTCACTCATCTCTGCTACCCAGCAGGATGTGGCACTGTCCCTTCCTGACCTGGCCTTCTGTCCCCCTCTGCCAGACACTGGCAGCGTGAGATCAACCAAGACCCCAGCCCAGCTCCCTGCCAAGAGTTCCTAGCTGAAAAATACCCCAGGCTAGTCCAGAGCACAGACTCAGCACCCCATCCTGGGAAGACATCTCTGGTGGCAGAGACAGACCCACAACATGGCCAGCAATGTGTTTCTTCACATGCAATGGAGGGCACAGGCCCATGAGAGCTGTTGGAGGACTGTGAAGGACTACTAGAATGTCCTGAGTACAAAATACCCTGACTGACATGAGACAGGGCTACCATGAGGCAGCAAAAAGTCTTTGGCAGCATGATCTCCCAGAAAGAGAGCTGGATAGGAAGAAGACAAGGCTGTATTTCCTAAGCTTGACTGGAACAGAAGTAAAGAGGTGAAAGGGATGTATTCCAGTCAGCCACTCAGAGGAAAACACTCAGCTTCCCAGACCTTTCATACTTCATATGTTCTCGCTCACGAGCTAGTTGGGAAGGTCTCCCTTCAGCAAGCAGCAGGGATAAACTGCCACAAAAGCAATCAAGTATCTGGGGAGGAGAGGACAGGAGAAAACATTTGTGGATCAAGTTAGGAAATCTCTCCTCACAAGGGTGTGGAGCTTGATATTAGATCTAACTACCAGCTTCTCTTGGAAAACAGGACTTTCGTTAGGGCTGGACGCAACAGGCATGCCCCAGGCTGCTCAGCATCAGTGGAGCAGAGGAGGAGCGCTTCCAGCAAAGGGCCACATCCTTTGTTGCAAATGATTCATCTTGCTGGGAGGGTTCAGCAGGTCAGAGGTAAACAATAAAAGGATTTCCCAACTGGCTTACCAGATCCCTGCCAAACCCCACAGTGAGTGAGCACAGGGCACCTTCCTGGACCTCCTGACATGAGTCAGCCCATCCTGCCCCACGCTGGGGGAGCCAGCAACCCCCTCAGACAGGACTTGTGCCGGTCAGATGCCTGTGCAACCTCAGGTCCACGGGCCTTCTCTAGCAGTTTGGGAACCAAAGCCCACTTTGGTCAACTCCCCCCACCCAGGGCCAGCAACAGCTATTCCTTTGGTGGCCTCCTGTTAAACAAGATCTCCTGAAACATGAGGTCTTTTGGCTGGGTGATCCTGCTGTACATGACATACAATAGCCTACATGTGGGAAACCATCTCTCTACCTTGTTTCCAAAGTTACTCTGCTAAGGTTACCAAAGGTGCTAAAGGTTTCCTAAAATACCCTGAAATGACATATAGACTACAGAAACACCACATAAACATCCAAGAAAACATAAGTTTAGGATCAGAGTGGCAGTACAGTGGCAGTGACCCCCTTTCTTCTACAGACAGCCCCAAGACTGTCAGGTGTCCAGCACAGGAGCTCAGCTCAGCTCATAGAAAGATGTTCCAGGAGGCCTGGGGCAAAACTTCTACTTTGTATCACAATGGAGTGAATTAGGATCATCTTTAATCTCTCAAACAGGGCCTGGGCTGACTGTTACCTTCAGTGGCTCTTGCAAAGCTCCTGTACTGGTGCAATGTAAGTCCCAAGTCTCCCTTCTAGGCTCTGCTTTCCTTTGCATGTTTTCATGTGCTTCTTCTCACACCCACCTCAGTGCTTTGGACAAAAGAGCTCTCCCTGTACGTCCTTCAGCGCTTGGATATCCTCTTTGGATTGCCTGTTGCTGTCCTCCTCCTCTTACCTCTGTCAGTGAGCATCTCCCCCTCCTCTGCTACCAACCTCACGACTACCTGTATGCTCATCTATTCATCCTACAGTGTTTTTGTGCTGTTTACATATGATAAATCCTGCTGCTGTCACGTACTGTTTAACTCCAGAAAGTGTGGCAGAAGACCAGCTTGTCTAAGACACATTACAAAAAGTGGAATTTAAAAATCTACTCATCCAGAACTACAGCTGTACAAAAGGCTGTCTCCTGACTTGTGTGCCGAGGAAAGAGCTCATCCGATGTGGTGACAGCAGAGGCCTGCAGCATGTGTGGGTGAGAGCCCCAGGAAGGACTGGAACATGTGTGATGCAGGAGGAGGAGAAGGGTAAAAGCGGGAGATGAGTATTGGCATATGTCAGTAAGGAAGAGGTGGTTTGGCTTTCTGCAGAGCGTAGGAAGAAAATGATTCCTTGTGTGTGTGTGCGTGTTGCAAGACCAGCATTGCAGAATAAAGGGATGCTCTGCCTAGGGAGCTAAACCGGCTGCTCTTTGAGCATTTTAATAGCCTTTCTTTTTTCTTTCCAAAGCTCCTGTCACCAGGAGCGCTCTGACTCCAGCTGTAAGACAGTGTGAAGCATCCAAGATCACTTTTGAGTGCTCTATTGCCAACACCTGCCCAGGGCCTCCAGAAGCAGTAGGCACCAGGCCTCAAGCTGTGCGTGGCTGCCTGGGTCTAAGCTTAGCTCCCAACTTTTCACAGGCTTTAGTTTGTACTTCTGCTCCCTTGCCAATGTCCTTTGTCCTTTCCCTTCCCTAGCACACTTGGTCTCTACCAAGTTGAATGGGAGCCTAAGGCAATGATACCCAGTCCTTCGACTGCAGTTTAAAACCACATTTAGAAAAATGGTAGAGCAGCTTGCCAAGCAGCCTCTTCTCTCCAGGGCAAGGGAAAAGGTACAGA